TTCTCTGGGTAAGCAAGCTACCACATGTAAATCAGGGCCACACAAACAGACATGTAAGCAGCTTCTGCGCCCAAGAGACATAGATGGTGGTATAGGAAATAAAGACAAAAAAAAAAAAAAAAAAAAAAAAGGAAACGCAGAAGATAAAATAATGGACACAAGGTTTTGCAAATATAAATTCAAAGGCATTTCTGCTCTTTCCAGGTTTTAGTGTCTGTAAATGCCACAAAGCCAGAATAAAGTGATCCTGTGCTATAGTTCTTACTGATTTATTGCTGTCTTAAGTCTGCTACCCTGGCAAGAACTCTGTCCATTTTATGCATAGTTTTTCTTCAGCCCTTACAAATTTAAATTCAGTAGCTCTTTTCTAAACTGTGCCTGTACCAAGCTTTTAGATTAGGTGATGTCAGAGGTCTGGAATCTGTTATTTTCTTCTCACATCCCTGGGAGGTGAAATAATACTATGGATCAGACCTGGGCCTTCAATGTGAGACTGCAAGTAAGTCTATATCATAAATACAAACAAAGGGGTAAAATATATATGCTTAATCAGAATATAGGCGAAAAGAAAACTAATTTTTGGTTAATTACCACACTCATGAACAATAACCCTTCTAGTAGCCCTGTCTTTAGAAATAATGCAGAAGTTTCTAATATATGTTTCTAAAATTTGAATTTTCAAGTCGACCAGATTATATTTGACTGTGCCCAGACATTTTATTTTGACCTGCTGCCAACAGTCTTTCCAAATTGTACAAATGAACAATGATGTGAATATGGTTAACATTGCACTTGAAAATGGTTAAGATTTGTGTTACATGCTTATTGTGGTAAAAATCACATTTTAAATTGTGGTAAAAAACACATAAGAAAATTTTAAACAATTTTTAGTTTGTACAAAAAAATTGTACAAATTGATCACTTGTAAAACGTGGAGAATAATAATTGCATTGTAGCTTTGTTGTAAAGATTAAAGGACATAATGCCTCTGAAGGCAAAAAGTATGAGTGACCTAGTCACCTTGAGAATTTCATCCCTAAAGAGGGTCTACAGTCCAATTTGAAAAGATACATGTACCCCAATGTTCACAGCAGCACTATTTATTTTACGATAGCCAAGACATGAAAGCAACCTAAACGTCCATCGACAGATGAACGGATAAAGAACATGTGGTACATATATACAATTGAATATCACTCAGCCATAAAAAGGAATGGGGGACTTCCCTGGTGGTCCCGTGGTTAAGACTCCACGCTCCCAATGCAAGGGGCCCAGGTTCAATCCCTGGTCAGGGATCTAGATCCCGCATGTTGCAGCTAAGACCTGGCACAGCCAAATAAATAAATAAATATTTTTACAAAATGAAATAGTACAATTTACAGCAACATGGATAGACCTAGAGATTATCATTCTAAGTCAGAGATAGAAAAATATCATATAATATCACTTATACGTGGAATCTAAAATATGACCCAAATGAACTTATTCATGAAACAGAAAGACTCACAGACATCGAAAACAAATTTATGGTTACCAAAGGGGAAAGTGGGTGGCGGAGGAATAAATTAGGAGTATGGGATTAACAGAGACATGCTACTATACGTAAAATAGATAAACAACAAGGACCTACTGCATAGCACAGGGAACTATATTCAGTATCTTGTAATGAACTATAATGGAAAAGAATCTGAAAAAAATATATATGTATATGTATATCTGAATCACTTTGTTGTACACTAAAACTAATACAACATTGTAATTCAACTATACTTCAGTTTAAAAAAATTAATTAAAAGAATTTTAAAGAGGGTTTATGGGGATAGTTTTGGCATTTTAGGCCTAATAACACCTAGAGCAGAGAGAGAAATTCTAAAGTAAATTCTTAATTTAGCACTTTTTCTTTAGTGGTTGGACCTTAAGAACATAATGCAAGTATAGACCTTTCATAGCTCCTTTCCTAAAGAATAGGAGTAGCTCTAATTCTTCTGGAGAGAATTTTTTAAAAGTCTGCTCTGGTTTTACATTTATTTAAAATTATTTATTTATTTATTGGCTGCATCGGGTCTTAGTTGTGGCATGCGGGATCTTTCGTTACAGCATGCAGGCTCTTCTTTGCAGTGCACAGGCTTCTCTCTAGTTGTGGCGCCCGGGCTCCAGAGCGCGTGGGCTCTCTAGTTGTGGTGTGAGCGCTCAGTAGTTGCCACATACAGGCTTAGTTTCCCGGCGGCACGTGGGATCTTAGTTCCCCGACCAGGGATTGAACCGGCGTCCCCTGCATTGCAAGATGGATTCTTTTTTTTCTTTTTAATTAAAGATTTGTTTTTAATTAATTTATTTATTTTTGGCTGCATCAGGTCTTAGTTGCGGCATGCGGGATCTTTGTTGAGGCATGTGGGATCTTCATTGTGGTGCACAGGCTTCTCTCTAGTTGTGGCACACAGGCTTCTCTCTAGTCGTGGCACACAGGCTCCAGGGTACATGGGCTCTGTAGTTGTGGCGCTCAGGTTCCAGAGTGCGTGGGCTCTGTAGTTTGCGGCAGGCGGGCTCTAGTTGAGGTGCGCGAGCTCAGTAGTGTGGCACACGGGCTTAGTTGCCCCGCGGCATGTGAGATCTTAGTTCCCTGACCAGGGATCGAACCCATGTCCCCTGCATTACAAGGCGGATTCTTTACCACTGGACCACCAGGGAAGTCCCAGCAAGACGGACTCTTAACCACTGGACCACCAGGGAAGTCCCTGGTTTTACATTTTTATTTTATGTATGCCATGTAAAAGTATAGCATAAAATGTGTAAAATACACATTATTATATATCTGATATATGTTAAAATATCTTTAGTGTTAAACTAAACAAAAAGTAACCTACTAATTGACTTTGCCTCACCTATTACTGCTTGAAACTTGCAAAGGAATTAAGACACACAAACCTGAGACTTAATACAGATACTTAGTTGAAAGGAAAAGAATATAGATGTGGTTGCCCTCTCTTGAGGAAACTCTGAGATCTGAGCATGACGATAATAGGTACCTTGAGTCTGGGTACCTTGAGCTACTCAGGATCAAACCAAACAGCTCTATATAGCTTAGTTCACTGATATATTGTGTTTATTTAAACAGTATTGACAAGAAAGTCACCAGAATTAATAAGCTAGAGAAATTATTCTCTGGCTTCAAAGTTTTGGCGTTATCCCTCAGAGATTGACAGATCACAACTACCATAGAGATGTCACAAAGATGCCATCACTATGGTAATGAATCGCCCATCTCACTGACACCTACTACCTAACTTTACACGAGACAGATCACACTTCAGGATCTACTTTCACAACTGCATTGACTAAAGTTACTGAAGACCTTGATCCTTTTCCAAAAACCTAGGTTTCTATAAACATGTCCAAGAATTGTCCTTATCCTTAATGGCATTTTAAGGATTCAATCTCTATTCAAGTGTAAATGAAAAAAACTCAGGATTTTTTTTTTAAAGTCAGATTCTTTGGAAAACAGAGCACATTTTCTTCTGAACTTTACTATTATGATTAATAGTTATAATGACTGAGGTTTCTATTGACCACCAAACAGTAAAAACAAGCAAGACAACAAGTCTAGTTGAAACACTTTATTGTTGACTGACTGAAATTTATCATGCTTAAGGTGCTGAAATACTGAGGCACTAGTCAGGAGCCTTGTTAGCATGTGTCAGACCCTACTGACTAATTCACACAAAGATTTTATTTTATCTTTTGCCACTTTGTGCAAGACAGTAATGATAGCTTTGGCTGATAGGTAGCAGGCATGTGAGTATAGCAGTAGATCCAGCTCCTTGGTCTGTTGTATTCATATATAAAAAGAGGTTTGGAAAGCTGATAAAGGTAAAACAATTGAAACCAAATCCATGCCAAGGTTCCTGCTTGACACATGTTCCTCAAAAGATATTATCTCTTTCAACATATACAAAGCCAAGAAAGGCATATTTAAGGGAAGGAATGAATATCACCTACATAGTATATCAGCTTTTCAACCTGACAGAGAAAAGGCAAAGTTCCTTCATATAGAAACTGGGTCTCCTCTTCACATACTCTGCCAAAATACACAGTCTGACCAAAAGATGTAGGAGTCTTGATAATCTGTTCCTCTTTTAAACCTTGCTAATAAAGATGAATAAATGTTCATCACATGGACATCGTCTAGTCTAATCAGATGGACCAAACAGGTCACTTTTCAGAACCTATTTTCATATCTAAACTGAGTCACTGCAGACCAATATAGAGCTCATCCTTTTCCAGAAAACTACTATCTCTGTAATACTTCTGGGGAAGTACATCATTGGGAAGGCACAATGCAAGTTAAGAAATGAATTGCTACGTCCACCGTGGCTTGAATAGTACTTATGTCATATCACTAAGGGCCTTTCCTTTTTCACTAGTTTCATATTCCTAGGCTTTCCTTTTGTTTCTGCAGTGCTTATTAGGAAAACTGAGGCAGAATCTAATAAGAAAGTTCTAGTCAATTTAAAAGACTTTAAATCAGAAATCTTCTGCTGTCATTGGATTAGCAAGTGAGGGATCAACCACAGAAAGTGGACATCCAATATACCTCTCCTAAAAACCAGTCCCATAATCCTACTATTTGAACTTAGGATCCTAAACAGGGGATAAGATTAAAATGTTATAGTCTATCCCACTATCCAAACTTCTCTCAGAGGCTTAAACCATACATAAACTGTTAAAAACATCAGAGGCGTAGCTTCTGTGAGGCGACTACTGATCAGCTTCTCCCCAAATCCGCACACTATCTTTTACAGACGAGGATTTATACTTACTGAATGTAAAAATCTAAAATAAGAAAACACTGTGCTAAATCTCTTAATGGTTTTGTTCACACGCTGTACATTCCCGTTTCAAAATTAAAATATTATATATGCATCCTTTATCCTTCTACCCCTCAATATTAATAAAAATATAAAGCCTTAAAACTTAAAAATCTACCAGCATTTATAAATACAATTATATTCAACAAGCTAAATACTTTTCTTTAGAAGATATATTAAATAAGTGATATATTAACAAAACCTTCTTACCATTTATGATAATGTATCATTACAATTAAAGAAAGATATGAAAATAGAAGAACGCTCCCGTAAATATAAAAGAATCAGGGGCTGTTAAGTGTGATGGATGGTCCAAGTCCGGACGCCTTGCTTTTGAAACAGAATGCTGGGTTAGGAAGTAAGAGCATCTCCTGGTTAATCACTTGGAAAATTAACTCTTTCCCAGGGTTTCTCCCTGGAATTCCTGACCCATTTAGACCTGCGATCTTGGTTACCTCACAGGCCTTTGTTTCTCACACAATTTTCTCTAAAAGGATCACACTGCAACTTGAAACAGATAGACTGAACTCCCCACCGGAGTTGTGCTGACTACTTTTGAGAGTGGCAAGACGACAAACCAGCACACCCACACAGATTATTCTCCGGTACCATAGATGCAGCTGTTTTTAGAGGCTTTTTGACTGTAACAGAAGACCAGGAACTTTCATTTGAAAGGGATCTGGGCAGCAAAAAAAAAAAAAGACTGCTAGATGTTTGGCAGTTTGTCAAGGTAAACCATCTGAACCGAACAGCTGTAGTAAATACCAAATTCCCAATTCTCAATTAACAAAATTCTCAATTAACAAAACAAAAATACTTTTTTTCCTTAAAGAACTGAAAGAGCCCCAACAGTGTGTCATGTGCAAGGCTAGTCTGCCTCCAGCTACAGCCAGTGCACAATGTCACGTTTGTCATCCATTCTCACTCTTTTAATTCTTCCTCCTGTGGAAAGTGCTCCTGCTTGCAGGCCACATCCACCAGCAGATGAAGATCTAGAAAGAAAAAAGATTGGTTTACTCACTCGTAGCTTCCCGAGCTGGAGAGTTCAATAGACAAGTCTTTAGACAAGAAGAACGAGTTGCTCTGTTTCACCTGTAGAATGGGCTCTAAAATCACATTACCTCATCAGATTCTCAGTTTGGGGGGCATTCCCGTACCTCTAAAGCACACAGTTGCAGCCCAGTTGTTAACCCAAAGAGACGAACAAAGTTTAAAGTTTCTCTCCTTTTAGTGATGTAGATAAGCCTCTTTTCAACTGACTTTTATTATAAGTGAAAAATTAAGGAAAAGTGCCAAAAAGATCAAAGTGAAATAAACACACACAAATGAAAATTCATTTCTTCGATGCTATAAAAATAGATAGGTGGGTTTTGGGAATATGAAAAAGTAATGCCTTCAGAAATACAATGTTAAAATAAGTAATCACTACCTTTCCAAAGTTGATTGCCTCCAAAAAATTTCCACTTACTGACTAACACAGCTGATTCTCTTATAAAAAGGTCTACCTGAATTGTCTGTTAAAAATAAAGTATACCCTTCAAGGAGGCCAAGAAACAAAGAGTGGTCATTAAGACTGGAAAGAAGTAAAAAAGTGAGCTCTCAGTTCAGGCACTAGGTTCTTTAACATAAAAAGCTAAGACCATGTACAGAAATAGAGTTAAGTGTTGTATGAAAGGAGAGAGAAGGTTAGCACTCCCCTTGACAAGGACGGAAAAGGCCTTCGGGCCTGACAACACGCATATGGTTAAGGCACTGCCACCTACTTCATGGCATCTAATCACTGTTTTTAGCAACCTAAGTGTCCATCGACAGATGAATGGGTAAAGAAGATGTGGCACATATATACAACGGACTATTACTCAGCCATAAAAAGAAACGAAATTGAGTTATTTGCCGTGAGGTGGATGGACCTAGAGTCTGTCATACAGAGTGAAGTAAGTCAGAAAGAGAAAAACAAATACCGTATGCTAACAAATATATATGGAGCCTTTACAAAAACAAAAAACAGGCTGAATCAACTATGGGGCAAGACGGGAATAAAGACGCAGACCTACTAGGGAATGGACTTGAGGATAATGGGGAGGGGGAAGGATAAGATGGGACAAAGTGAGAGAGTGCCACGGACATATATACACTACCAAATGTAAAACAGATAGCTAGCGGGAAGCAGCCGCATAGCACCCGGAGATCAGCTCGGTGCTTTGTGACCACCTAGAGGGGTCGGATAGGGAGGGTGGGAGGGAGGGAGACGCAAGAGGGAAGAGATATGGGGATATATGTATATGTATAACTGATTCACTTAGTTATAAAGCAGAAACTGACACACCATTGTAAAGCAATTATACTCCAATAAAGATGTTAAAAAAAAAAAAGATGTGGCACATATATACAACGGAATATTACTCAGCCATAAAAAAAAACGAAATTGAGTTATTTGCAGTGAGGTGGATGGACCTACAGTCTGTCATACAGAGTGAAGTCAGTCAGAAAAAGAAAAACAAATACCGTATGCTAACACATATATATGGAATCTTAAAAAAAATATATATATAGGTTCTGAAGAACCTAGGGGCAGGACAGGAATAAAGACCCAGATGTAGAGAATGGACATGAGGACACGGGGATGGGGAAGGGTAAGCTGGGACAAAGTGAGGGAGTGGCACTGACACATATACACTACCAAATGTAAAACAGATAGCTAGTGGGAAGCAGCCGCATAGCACAGGGAGATCAGCTCGGTACTTTGTGACCGCCTAGAGGGGTGGGATAGGGAGGGTGGGAGGGGAGGAGATACGGGGATATAGGTATATGTATAGCTGATTCACTTCGTTATAAAGCAGAAACTAACCCACCATTGTAAAGCAATTATACTCCAATAAAGATGTTTAAAAAAGAAAAGAAATAGAGTTAAATGGCCTATCTGAATAACATAGTCCGAAATGAAGGAATCCTAATGTGGCTTCTAGATTCAGTCTAATTAGTTTGCAATTTCTAGAGCAACATGACCAGGGAGCCTTTTTTAGGTTGATTTTTAGGCTTACAATTTTGTCCTAGTAGCATTTTGGAGTTAAACTAAATTATACAGAATGAGTCCTTTATTTCCTACTAGACATACAGAGACTTTTGTTACTATATTTGTAGAACACAACCTTTGTAGGATTGATCAACAGCCTGGGCAAGACAGCAGATACAATAAAATAATTCTACCATCTAGAGGGCATTTGGAACAGTATCTAATTTTTTCCATATTTTGTGAAAGGAAGACCAATCACCAGGAGAAGGTACTAGCTCATCCGGTGAACAACACTACAACCTATCCATAAAGAACAAGCAATTTCAGAATTCCCTGGCAGGCCAGTGGTTAGGGCTCCAAGCTTCCACTGCAGGGGGAAGGGGTCAGCCCCTGGTTGGGGAACTAAGATCCTGCATGCCATGCTGTGAGGCCAAAAAAATTAAAAACAAACAAACAAACAAAAAACAAGCATCTATCCAGATAAGCATCTTGTAGAGGGAGAACAGACATCAGTTCATCACTTAAAAGTGGCTTCTTGTGCATCCATGATCATGGCAGCATTATTTACAATAGCCAAAAAGTGAAAGCAATCCAAGTGTCCATCGATGGATGAATGGAAAAACAAAATGTGGTAGCTACATACAAGGGAATATTATTTAGCGTTAAAAAGGAAGGAAATTCTGACAAATGCTACAACATGAGTGAGCCTTGAAGATATCACGCTAATTGAAATACGTTAGTCACAAAAGGATAAATACTGTATGATTCTACTCATATGAGGTAGCTAGGGTGGTCAAATTCATAGAGACAGAAAGTAGAATGATGGTTGCCAGGGGCTGCAGGGAAGGACGGAATGGATATGGAGTTTCAGTTTGGGAAGATGAGAAAAGTTCTGGAGATGGAAGGTGGTGGTGGTAGTACATAACGTGAATGTACTTAATGCCACCGAACTGTACACTTAAAAAAGGTTAAAAAGGTAAATTTTATGTTATGTATATTTTACCACAAAAATGGCTTCTTTACAGTCTAAAGAACAGTGACAATGATTACAGCAATATCTTAATTTGTATAACATCTTTTTTTCAAGTAACTAAAATGCATTATTAGAAGGTCATCTAATTAATCCTGAGGAGTGAAGAGGTGACAGAAAGAACCTCTACACTATATGGCTAATAAGCAAAGCCAATGGTTTCTAAATCTTGCTGCACATTGGAATCACCTGGGGAGCTTTAAAAAAATACTGAGATCGAGGGCTTCTACCCCCATACATGCTGATTTAATTGGTATAGAGTACAGCCTAGGCATCAGGATTTTTAAAAGCTGACCAAAGGATACAGAATGAGTAATACCTAATTATGATCATTCTCTAAACACTTCAACTCCATATCAGAATAAGAAGGAAAGGCCATATGGTGACAGAAAATACGAAAATAAGAATTTGGAAAATGAACAGACCCAACTGCAACCCTGCTTTGAAAGCAGAGTAGGAATTCTTGATAATGACAAAGGTAAAGACTATAAAGCACCTGCAGAGCTCTTATGGGGAGGCAGACTGAAGAACAACAACAACAAATCCTCTTTTTTTCAGTGAACAAATGTCATTTATTTAATTGACACTTTATTGTATTGATAGGTTCAAATAATGGACAACAGCACATCACAAATAGGCATGGTTAAAGAAACAATAGTCTGTATGGCTCTGTAATAGTCTCAGGATGAGTTATGTAGTGAGTTATGTATGAGCAACAAATCCTCTTAGCCTTAATGATTGGGCTTTAAAACAGCATTTGTCAGTACTTCCCTGGTGGTCCAGTGGTTAAGACTCTGCGCTCCCAATGCAGGGGGCCTGGGTTCAATCCCTGGTCAGGGAGCTAGATCCCACAGGCTGCAACAAAGATCCTGTGTGCCACAACTAAGAACCAGGGCAGGCAAATAAATAAATATGTTTTTAAAAAAAGCATTTGGCACACAGCTTCTAAGAACAGGCATCTAAACACGATAATTTTATTAAAGTGAGCTTCCTTCATTAACAAAGCTGCCAATCAAGGAATTAAAGTATAGAAACCAATAAAAATGCAAAAAGACAGAGACTAGCCTGATGTTACTAGAGGTTTATAGGACTTCATTCAGAAGAGAACCATGATCCACCAGAGGGCAGACAGCAGAAGCAAGAAGAACTACAATCCTGCAGCCTGCGGAATGAAAGCCACAACCACAGAAAGATAGACAAAATGAAAAAGCAGAAGACTACATCCCGGATGAAGGAACAAGATAAAATCCCAGAAAAACAACTAAGTGAAGTGGAGAGAGGCAACCTTCCAGAAAAAGAACTCAGAATAATGATAGTGAAGATGATCCAGGACCTCGGAAAAAGAATGGAAGCAAAGATCGAGAAGATGCAAGAAATGTTTAACAAAGACCTAGAAGAATTAAAGAGCAAACACCTAGAAGAATTAAAGAACAAACAAACAGAGATGAATTATACAATAATTGAAATGAAAAATACACTAGAAGGAATCAATAGCAGAATAACTGAGGCAGAAGAACGGATAAGTGACCTGGAAGACAGAACGGTGGAAATCACTGCTGCAGAACAGAATAAAGAAAAAGGAATGAAAAGAAACAAAGACAGCCTAAGAGACCTCAGGGACAACATTAAACGCACCAACATTCACATTATAGGGGTCCCAGAAGGAGAAGAGAGAGAGAGAAAGGACCCAAGAAAGTATTTGAAGAGATTATCGTTGAAAACTTCCCTAACATGGGAAAGAAAGGAAATAGCCTGCCAAGTCCAGGAAGTGCAGACAGTCGCAGGCAGGATAAACCCAAGGAGAAACACACCGAGACACACAGTAATCAAACAGACAAAAATTAAAGACAAAGAAAAATTATTAAAAGCAACAAGGGAAAAATGACAAATAACATACAAAGTAATCTCCACAAGGTTAACAGTTGATTTCTCAGCAGAAACTCTGCAAG